TGAGAGACGGAATTACGAATTAAGCGGTGCAGGTTTATGAAATGCTTGGGGTAGGGAAATGTAATTACGATTGATATTGGTATTTGTAATTTCTGGAAGAACAGAAATATTGATTATTTTGGTATGAAACGACAAATAACCTTGATCGCAAAGTTCGATAGCTTTTTGCGTAGGAAATTTGCTCATTTTCGAATTAATTCTCCGTTCATTGTGATATTTTACAGAACACGTATTATTACACAATTCGTTATTGATTATATATGTCACATAATTTTAATCCACAATACACAAATCCATCATTCAACAAATATATATTAACTTTTTTATTTATTATGCTTATTACGCACACATTATTGGCGCTCTAATAATGTACAATATATTATTCATTCGTTCAATATATCTCAATCTCCCGATTTATTTTCTTTTTTCATCTGCCGCTGTATTTTAAGAAGAAAACGTGGCGCGAATTTGTCTCTTCCATCGAGATGATAAAAGTCAGAAAGATGGGAGATAATACCAGGAATTATGAGCGCATCTGGGATTAGATAGGCATCATAATTCGCCGCGATTGGATCCGTTGATGAAACTGATCACGCGGAACACGTACAATCTCACAGACCTGGAACAAATACGCGATACGTTTCGAACAAAAGGTCGCCAAAGTCGCTGCGAAATGGCAATGGTATTGAAGCGCGGTGGACAATGGAGGATACTTACAATGTATGGCGGCTTAGGGAAAACCTCCGGCGAAAATGTGAATAGGAGCGAGCGGCGGGAATTCACACGGTGGAAAACGGTGCATCGGTGCACCGTATAACGTCAGCCAATGCGACGCGGTTTGACGCGAGTGCCGCTGACAAACCACGAGGTGAACTGTCTTTTGCCGCGGCAAATCGTTGCTAGCCGTCATTCTCGCCGATCTAATTAAAATCCTCGAGAATTGAAACGAACTCGTTCCGCGCGCTTTGAATATACGTCAACGCGCGCGAATATTTACAAATTGTTGGATATTTAACAAGTTTGACGCTTTTAACGCGGCGGGCTGCGAAATAAAATCGAATTAGCGCCATTCTCTCGTTCCCGGTGAAATTTTCTACCCGGAGGTTAATTAACTTGCGCGCTTATGCGACGCGAGTCGCGCGCAATGAAACATCGCGGCGCTGATATATGTATTTCGTGTTGCGTGTTCGGATAGCAGCGAGCAGCCATTCGAATCTAATTGCAAAGTTTCGAACTTCTTATTGTTGGAATTTTAAGCAAAAGCTTGAAGTTGAAGCGAGCTTGAAACGTTTGTGCGTAGTAGCGCACACATCTCGATGAATCCGAGCGAGTGAATTAGATTTGGTTTGTTAATTTTTGTGTTGAATTGATTTCAATGCGTTTCGTTTTTTTTTTTTTTTTTTTTTTTTAGTGACAATTAGATGTAAATGGACCTGTAAAAGTATACGCTACTTTCAAAATGATACATTCAAGATACACTATTTGTTATAATACAGGGGACGAAACAAATCTTTACTTGTCTTCCATTTCTTTAATTGCATTTGCATAAAAATCCGTACTCTAGCGATGATATATTTTTGCCCGGGAAAAATACGCTTTCTGACGGATATTCCCACGATGAAAAGCATTTTAGAAGAAACACACCGAATGGTATTTGCAGACCAAAGTCATAAAACATCAGCTTTACGATTTATGCACTATAACTCTATATGCTCTCCCTCTTTGCCGAAAAGAAATTTGGCAGATTAATATTCGACGAAATTTCAAACTTACGTTTCATACGTATGATCCAATCTGCAAAGAGACGCTTTGACTTTTTTTTACTGTTGCAGACAGTTCCCCGTTCCATTTTCATTACTATTTTCACTGTGAAACGAGAAAGAAAGAAAGAAGGAGAGAAAAGAAACTGGAGCAAACTTAGAATGACATCCATAGTTAAACTTCGCCATGTCTATAATTACAAGTTCGTCGATTTTCCATATTTTGAAGGAAAAATGTTCAAACTGGTTTTCCCCATTTTCAGCAATAGTCACATTGTGACGATTTGCCAATTCGAGCGCAAATTTAATTTTAATAAGTTTTGTGTATATATATCATTAAAAAAAATATTATTATAATATCATTGTTATATACGTCATTAAAAAAATATTCCGTGGAATAGAACTAGTAAAATAGAAATATCACATTCGAAACAATTTTTTTGTTATATTCAAAATAATAATTGTAATAATAATAATAATAATAATAATAATAATAATAATAATAATAATAATAGTAACACTAAATAATAATAATAATAATAATAGTAATTGTAGCAGTAATTCATTATTCACCAGGTATTGATCAGCATTTTTCCATCAAACGCAAACTTTCGGATACACACATGTATATATTCCCACAGATGTTTAGCGCAACATATATTGTAATCACCAGAATGTATAGACGCATTATAATTTTCGAGTTTCTCGGCGTTTACGCGTCATTATATGAACACGAATCGCGATAGCCTCCGCTATTAAACGTATTACACAATGTAAATGCGCAAATAATATCGCAAACAACGTTCGCCGAGCGTGAGTCGAAATTTAACGCTGATAACGTAATAATTAATTAACACGAAGTCAATCAGCGAGGGGTAATCAACCGTTGGTGCCGATCTATTTTGAAGGAACGACAATGCTGGCGAATCGAGGATTCCGATCCCCTCCCCGAATCAATCGATCGTTCGTAATTTGAAAAGATGCTCGCCGATGTTGACGTATTAAAAATTCAATTATCCTCTTGGACAGGCGCGAACCCGCGGAGAATGTTACGAATTCAGTGTTGTTCACTGAAAAATCCCACGTTTTGCTGGACGTGCAGAAATTCTTCTCATCCGCGGAAATCTGTTTTTCACGCGCCCGATCTGTTCCGGGGGAAGGATTTAAACACATAATAGAGACGAAACGCAAACGGATCTAAGCGATCATCTGAATTAAACGGATGGGGGGGAGGAGGTGAAAAATATGGAAAGATATTGCGTGTTTGATGAAATTGAAAAGAAAGAAGAGGACGATTATTCGAAATAGAAACGGTTATTCAAATTCGGGATTAAACGTGAGACTCTGGAAATCAAATTCTGCCAGCAACCAGAGGGATTAAAGTGTAGCGTTCGAAAAATTTTATCCGCGTTTCTCTTTCTCCCTTTTTTTCATAACAAAAAAAAAAAAAAA